TCGAAGCTGAAGTCAATAAGTTAATAGACGCTGGATTCATTCGAGAAGTCAAATATCCAACATGGATTGCTAATATTGTGCATGTCAAAAAAAAAAGAATGGATAAATTCGAGTTTGTGTTGATTTTAGAGATTTAAATCAAGCATATCCAAAAGATGGCTTTGCACTGCCAATTACAGAACTCATGGTTGATGCGACCACGGGACATGAGGTCTTATCTTTTATGGATGGTTCCTCTGGATACAATTAAATTTGAATGGACCCTAAGGATGAAGAACTCACTGCATTTCAAACCCCCAAGGGAGTTTATTGCTATAGAATGATGCCCTTCGGACTCAAGAATACTGGTGCCATATATCAGCGTGCAATGCAAAAGATTTTTGATGATGTACTACACAAAAAGGTTGAATGTTATGTTGATAACCTAGTCATAAAGACAAAAAGATGTGAAGATCATCTTGATGATTTGCGCAGCATTTTTGAACGGCTTTGGAGATATCAATAAAAATGAACTCCTTAAAGTGTGCCTTTGGGGTTACCTCTGGCAAGTTCCTTGGATTTATTGTCAGACATCGAGATTGATCAATCAAAAATAGAGGCTATTCTAAAGATGCCAGAGCCTCACAATCTGCATGACTTGAAAAGTTTTCAAGGAAGGCTTGCCTATATACTAAGATTTATCTCGAACCTCGCCGGACGTTGTCATCCGTTCAATAAACTAATGAAGAAGGATGTTCCTTTTGAATGGGATGATGCCTGTCAAAATGCTTTTGAAAATATCAAACAATATCTCATTCATCCCCAGTCCTCGCAGCACCAATTCAAGGGAAACCATTGATCCTTTATATTGCTGTCCAAGAACAGTCATTAGGAGCACTCTTAGCACAAGTTAATGACGAGGAAAATGAAAATGCATTATACTATCTGAGTCGGACATTAGTAAGTGTAGAACTAAACTACTCACCTATTGAAAAGATGTGTCTTGCATTAGTCTTCGCTACAAAGAAGTTGAGGCATTATATGCTGGCTCATGTTGTTCATCTCATTTCAAAATCTGATCTTGTCAAGTACATTATATCAAGACCAGTTCTCTCAGGAAGGTTGGCAAAATGGGCACTTCTATTATCTGAATATGACATAGTTTATGTTCCACAAAAGCAGTCAAAGGACAAGCATTAGCTGATTTTCTTGCAAATCATCCGATCCCTACAGACTGGGAGCTACCAGAAGAATTGCCAGATGAAGAAGTTTTCTTCACTGACTTCATACCGTCTTGGAAGTTATACTTTGATGGTGCTACTCGAAGGTATGGAGCTGGTGCAAGTGTGGTCTTCATTACCCCTGAAGACGAAGTATTGCCTTACGCAATTACCTTGACAGAGTCTTGCTCCAATAACATGGCGGAGTACCAAGCTTTGATCATTGGCTTAGAAATGACACTTGATATGCAACTCTCTCAGTTGAAAATCTATGGAGACTCGCAGCTGGTGGTTTATTAGGTTTTGGAATTGTATGATGTTTGTAAACCAGATTTGATTCCATATTGTCGCTATGCAACTCAACTTATGAGTCAGTTTGATCGAGTCACCATTGAAAAAGTACCACGCGGTGAAAACAGATATGCTGATGCTCTTGCCAATCTTGTCGTCGTGCTTACAAAATCCTATTACCAAATAATTTCAGTTCCAGTTTGTCAAAGATGGGTAATACCTCCGTTACTCCCTGAAATGGAGGAAGTTACTACCATTTCAGTAGTGCAAGTTGAAAATGAAGATTGGAGGCAACCTTTGATTGATTATTTGCAGTATGGAAGATTACCAAATGACCCACGTCATAGAACCGAGATACGATGAAGAGCTCCTCGATTTATTTATTATAAAAACATCCTCTATCGTCGTTCATTTGATGGTATTTTCCTGTGATGTTTGGACGAAGATGAAGCTGCTCAAGCACTTGAGGAAGCTCATTCTGGAATCTGTGGTGCTCATCAATCAGGACCTAAATTACATTTCGCATAAAGAGAATGGGGTATTATTGGCCCACTATGGTGCAAGACTCGATGAGTTACGCTAAGAAATGTCAAGCTTGTCAGTTCCATGCCAATTTCATTCACCAGCCACCTGAACCATTGCATCCTACAATCGCATCATGGCCTTTTGATGCATGGGGACTTGATGTCGTAGGACCTTTGACTTCAAAATCGTTAATAGGACATCTTTACATCTTAGCAGCAACTGATTATTTCTCCAAGTGGGTGGAAGCGGTTCCTCTTAAAGAAGTGAAAAAAGAGAATGTTGTCAACTTTATTCGAACAAATATTATATGTCGGTATGGTGTACCTCGTTACATTATCACTGATAATGAAAAATCATTTGTCAATAGCCTCATGGCCAAGCTCTGCATCAAATTTGGATTTGTACAACATAATTCATCCATGTACAACGCACTAGCCAAAGGACTCGCAGAATCCTTTAACAAAATCTTGTGCAACTTATTGAAGAAAGTTGTCTCCAAATCAAAGAAGGATTGACATGAAAGGGTTGGTGAAGCTCTCTGGGCATATCAAACAACATACCGAACTCCAGCACAAGCTACTCCATACTCCCTTGTGTATGGCGTTGAAGTTGTTCTTCTTTTGGAACATCAAATTCCCTTCCTGCGGATCGCCTTACAAGAAGAACTCACAAATGAAGAAAATGTTCATTTACGTCTAGATGAGCTTGAAACACTTGACGAGAAGAGACTAGATGCACAACAAAACCTCAAATGTTACTAAGCCATACTTTCCAAAGCCTTCAATAAGAGGGTTCGTGTCCGATCATTCCAAATAGGAGATTTGGTCCTTGCAATTCGAAGACCCATTGTCATTCCACATCGCACCGGTAGAAAATTCATGCCAAAATGGGATGATCCATATGTGGTGAAAGAAGTCTACACCAACGGCGCGTACAAGATTGTTGACAAAGATGGCTTGAGGGTTAACCCAATTAATGGAAAATTTTTAAAGCACTTCTACGCCTGAAAACAAGTAATCTCCTTTATGCATGAGCCTAAACTGCATGTTACTCTTGACCCCGCATGAGTTAAAACTGTGCACGACGCCAACCTATAAAAAAACAAAAAAAAAAACACTTGTTGCTCCTGGCCCGCATAAACTAAAATTGTGTACAGCTTGACCAAAAATAAAGGTCTATGCGCTCCTTTACACCCGAGCCTAAACTGCATATTACTCTTGACCCACATGAGTTAAAACTGTGCATGACGTCAACCTATAAAAAAACCAAAAAAAAAATCTTGTTACTCCTGCTCCGCATGAGTTAAAACTGTGTACGGCTTGACCAAAAATAAAGGTTTCATGTGCTCCTTTACGCACGAGCCTAAACTGCATGTTACTCTTGCTCACAAGAGTTAAAACTGTGTACGACTTTAAAAAAAAAAATTACTTAGCTTAACAAAAAAAAAAAAACTTTTTTACTCCTAGCCAGCATGAGTTAAAACTGTGTACGACTTAATAAAAAAAATGTTTTTACTTCTGGGCTGCATGAGTTAAAACTGTGTACGGCTTAACCAAAAAAAATTTTTTTTTTTTGCTCCTGGTCCGCATGAGTTAAAACTGTGTACGACTTAACAAAAATAATTCCTTCGAAATTATGTTTAAACTTAAACTTTTTCTTTGGATATCTAAGTTATTTGAGAATCAATCTTTTTTAAGTACAATAAATAATAGCATAAATTTTTTTTTCAAATCTAAACATCCATATTTGCTAAATATATATATATATATATATATATAAAGAATTACAATTGAGGAGTTATGAAATCATAAAAAATTTTCAACCCAGTCGATTGAGGCTAGTGAAGAAAATTCATTTTCTAACATGGATCATATCTTGTCTATATTTTGTATCTCCTCAACACTACGAATATGAGACTCCTGGAGTTCGACACGTTCTTTCTCCATCACCACAATAGTCTCTTCAGTGTTCTGTCATTCATCACGAATAAAGTCAATGCTAGATGCTACCTCGGCCCTCCAATTTTGCAGTCGTCGAATTTCATCATCAAGACTTCATAACTTTGCTTTAGATTTCAACAGTTGTTCACTCAAGTTTGTCCTCCTGATATCGTGCTATCAATTGTTGTCAACCTTCTATCTTTTTCTCTAGAGGTTAAAACTTTGACGTTTTTCTTGGCATTTTGAAAGATACTCATCTACTTTTATAATAAGACAATCCATTTTTCTCACCAAAAGATCTGTGTCAACATAGAAATTTTTTTTAAGAGTATCTTTAATACTTAAAGACTTGGAGGTCCACCAGATCTTCAATCTAGAGAAACCATTTTTCATGGCATAATCAAATTCACCCTTCAAATATGGGGGCATTATGGTTAGAATTATTTTCTTTGCCAATTTTTCAGAACTAATTGCTTCAACAGGAGGACCTGACACAAATAAAGATATGTGATTAGTTGCATATTAATCGAAATGGCAACTAGGTCAAGCTAATGAAATATACCTAAGACATATGAAAACATTGACATTAGTCTTGGAGATCGCGCTTCACCAAATCCATAAGGCTCAGGAAGCGTATTCATAACAGAATTATTAATAGCTTCTTGTCTTACTTGTATACCACATGAAGAGTTTGTTTTAGAATTAACTTCCCCTTCACATGGATTGACATTTTCTCCATCAACCAAAGAAAGAATTTCACCATTACCAGAAAGAATGGATATGGTCCGATCGTTGTCATCAAATAAAGCTTCAATGATATCATTGTCAAGATTTTGGCCTCCACAAATACTTGAGATGAAATTTAATGTAGCAAGATCTGGAAGTGGAGGAAAAGCTTAAAAAAAAAAAAAAGGTAAGAGGTTTGAAATATAAAAAAAACAATGATAATAGTAATGAAATTTTGCAAGTACCTTTACTGCGGGATCGCATGGATAATTATAAAAAAGTTGATAAGTCATTCAGAGCATCACAAGATGGGTTAACTCTACCTGTGGGAGACTTTGTAGTGGTATGATTTGCACCATCTTCTGGCACGGCACAAAGCCAAATTATACTCAGCTTTTGTAGCTCTTGTTTGGCACCGCTCTTGAACTGTCTGCTTAGTAGAACCAGGATTATCAACTGGTACAATTGTGCTTGAAATCCTTCCATGATTCGAGCCTATATCATGTTTCTTGAAAATACCCTTGGATATGCGGGATAAAAGGAATGCATGATCAGATTCGTTTGACGAACTCACTTTAGCAGACTCTAGGATGTTTAAAGGATGAACAGATCGAACATTAGCTGATCTTGAAACAGGTGTTGTGACCTTCAACATCTTCGGAACCTGTTGTTCTTGGGAATTCAAACAATGCTTTGAAGTTTCCCGTTTTCGAAGACGTGAAGGAGCTTTAGCTACTGTAGGAAGGGATTTCCCCTTCCTTGACCCGTCAACTCGAGCTTTGAATTTGAAATTCTCATATTCACTAGCTAACAAGGTTTTACAATTGATGTCATCTAGGTGTGGGAATATATCATATTTCCACCAGTTGTTATAACTACTGTCACACCAATTCTTAATGCGAGTGTAATTATTAAGGACATGGAATCCTGCCCCACTGTTTATCCTAGTTAAACTCAACTACGCCCGATATAAAAAAGAGGCATCAAACAAAATTATTGATAGACATGAGAGAGTACCATGTAATCTTTGATGAAATCTATGCTGCCTAGCAAAACGATGTGGGTTATACATCTAAAGAATGCAAACTGGCCCACGACGATACATGACGTGTCCACCTCGCATACTTGTCATTAGTTCAGAGGTTTCATCTAATCTTTGTCCATCATCACGATGAGGTCCTCGATTTCCAGAATACGGAACTGGTTGCCAGCAAAAATGATTGGAACTCATACTTCCACGCAGAAGATCTCAAAATCCTTTCGCTTCTTCGTCATAAAAAAGATAAGCATTCAGTGTACCTTTGAATTGTCAAAGCAAAGGACGATTAAGCTCCTCATCAACCTCAGCATAAACTCTCCGAGGGAAATGCAACACTACCCAAGCATAAAAATAATGACCAGGAAAAGCATAAGAAGCCATTCCGAGGTTCTTTTGATCATATCGGGTTCTGCATGTCTCAGATAAACCTCTGTAAATACTTGCAACAATAGGAGGAACCAAGCTATATGTGACTCCAGCAGCCATTCGGGAGGCAGTCTTGAAGATAGTTGGATTAATAACATCATCTGATGAAGGAAATACAAAGCGACATAGCCATAAAGCTAAATAAGCTGCAATCTCCATGTCTTCACGTATTGTGACATCAAGGTCAAGATCTAAAAGAATGAATGGATCATCACCATTGACATTTGTCTTCATTGGTTGTATTTCTGCCTGAATAGGTCTCACCAATCTTCGCTTTGCAAAAAGTTCTCCATCCCTTTTAAAGCAATTTGTCATGACTGATTTATATGTCTTGCTCTTCTTAGGATCCGGAGCACGTGCACCATCCTTGAACCAAAAATCAAGCCAAACTGAATGACGGGAACAATTATCTCCTTTTTTCTTATTGATTAAGACAAAAGCCTTAAACAAGTGCAGACAAGTCACAGGAAGAACACTAGTATCAGAGTCTCAATTCAGTCAAGCTTGGGATAACTTCTTCAAAATATTCACCACGGATTGAAAGACCGGTGACGTGTCGCATTTCCCAAAGTGAGATTCCAATTTCTTCTGCTCTTGTAACAAATGTATTCGTCTGTGGACACCAAACTTCACAAAGGGCGCGATATACACTGTTGGGTCAAGACATGCACAGCATAATTAAGTTCGTCGAAATCCTTATCTAACAACTTGTAGTAAATTTGTTGAGACCACTCCCAAACCCCATTCAGTTATTGAATATCTCCCCATGGGTTCAATGAACATCCCCACCTCGCAATCCTCTGGTTGATCAGATCAGCAACAAGTGGCTTTGGGATAAGATGATCTTTGGAATGATACGAAGGTGCACAAAGTGAGGGTAGTCAATCTGATTTAACTGTGTCACTTTTGTGCATGTTCTTTAGCAGAGGATATTCACTAATCACCGGTATATGAAGTTCAGGTTCATAGATTATTCTCGAGCGGCTGCAGGGACCAGTCATGGGCTCAAGAACTTTGAGTGATAATATTGACAACTCCTTAGTTCTGTAGTTTTTTACTACAATAGTTGGAAAACACAAAACTTTGTCTTTCAGAATTAGATCTTTTGACTCAACAATCCACTCATCGGAAGATAAATTCTTTTTTGACTTGAAATTTTGATAATTTTTCCCGATTTAGCTGTTTGAGATGAGGCCATTTGAAAAATAATAAAAATAATAATAAGGAAAAAAAGGGCAAATAATAATTTTTAAATATATATATAAAATAAACTTTGATGCTATAAATAAAGTGGGAATAAAATAATAATAATAGTGGTAATACAAGATACAAGCAATACAAGAATAGATCAGTCACCTAAGGTTGTTACAGAAGTCACCTAGAGCTGTTACAGAAGTCACCTTAGGTCGCTACAGAAGTCACATTGGACTATTACAAAGTCACCTAGGGTTGTTGTAGAAGTCACATAGGGCTCTTACATAAATTATCTTAGGCTGCTACGAAAGTTACCTTTGGTTGTCATAGAAGTCACTATAAGCTGTCACGGAAGTTACCTTAAGATGTCACAAGAGTCACATAAGTTGACACAAAAAAAAAAAATCACTAAAGGTTGTCATAGAAATCACAAAAATAATAATAATAAAGTAATAAAATAAAACTTTTATAACATAATTCACCTATAGTTGACATAAAAGTTACAAACTGATGGAATGAATGTTATCTAAAGTAACATTTTTGAGAAAAGTTATTTAAAATTAAAATTCTTAGCACAAGTCAACCCAATATAAAATTTCTTAGAATAAAGTTTCTTAAGATAAAATTTTTGAAAAAAAAAAAGAGAGAAAAAAAAAAGTGTTGAATGGCGGCAACAGTAAAAAATAGTGACCAAGGATTCACCTTCTTGGCCAACCCAAGATCCTATAACACAGAATTTACATGCGAGGTTGCTTGTATTAAAAAAAAAAACGAAGCTATCAAAACTATTAAAAAAGGAAGATAAAAAAAATTTGTGGTATAAAAAATTTTTGCTTTTAATGAGAACCAACTGAGAATATTAAATAGGTTTTATATTGCCAGTCAATTAAAAAAAATTAGGAATTATGTTGTTCTAAAAAAAACATAAAAAAAAAAAAGTCTTTTTAATACACAAAAAAAATTTGTTTTTTTATTGATTATAATAAACAAAAATAATCAATAAGCAAAAGTATGAATATAGTATTAATACACAAAAATGGGTGCCCCATTAAATGAGGAATTCAAAGTTGGTTGTTGCACCAAGCAATATGCAAAAATGTACGGTACGAAAAAAAAGCTTAAGAAAAAGAGGGTTTCTGTCACACACATGCTAAAGAATAAAATACAAGAAAGAAATCAAAAAAAGGACAAGTATTTAGTTGAGGAGTCTGAGCTTCACCGATCCATGGGCAAAACCAGTAAAAAGTCTTGTTCCACTGAATCCTATAGGCATCTTTAAATAGAGAGAAAAAAAAAATATTGTTCAAGGATTCGGTGTCTATATTTTAGGTCTATGTGTTTAAGTAGAACAAAAGAATTATTATATATCTTGACCCCATAAAAATTAGAATTCCATGTTGTTCATGGTTAAGAATAATAATATGCTAAAAAAATAATTAAAAAATCCAAATTAAATAAAATTCTTTCATGAATTTTTGAATACAGTAATAAAAAGATACTCTAGTATTATATTCATATCAATATGACCCACTAAAAAAATTGTTGTTTTGATTCTAGCCAAATTAAATTGATAAAGACTAGCACTTTGATTCTTATTAGTAAGACTTAAGAGCCATTAAATCCAAATAATATACAATGATATGTATGACTAAGATAATTGGGTATTAAACCTAAAATAATAGGATCATTATGACATAAAAAATCTCATGTATACCTCATGCAAAGAAAGTGACAAATTACATACACCTAAACTTATTGTTAAGAATAAGACAAAATATATTGAAAGAATGAATGAAAATTGTGATAATCGATACTAACTATGAAGACAATAGAAAATCGATTAACATATTTCTTTATTAGTAAGTTTGAATCAACAAAGTTACATGTCTAAGAAATCATTATGCTGACAAAACTAAGCACCACAACAATCAAAAGCAATATATAAATAATTAAACAACGAAAGAGTCATACCTTACAAACTTGATTCAAGGTCCAAATTTGTTGATTAGCTGATTGATCATAAAATTTCGAGTACATATAGCCTCGTATATATAGATATTCTAGTTCTATGTATTTAAGTTAAAACAAGAATTTGTTATCCTAGTCATAGACGGATTAAAAGTCTATATTTAGGACTCTGTATTTAAATAAAAGAGATTTTTACATTAATCATAGACCAATATGTTCAAATAAAATATGATTGTGAAGCCCGTTTGGTTTAGGATTCTATATTTTGTTTAAAGTTCAATATGGACTATAATTCCAATTAAAATATATGTATATGTGTGTCTATATATATATATATATATATATATATATATATATATATATATATATATATATATATGTAATTAAATTAAATCAAACTCCTTTCAAATCAAAATATATATTGAGACCCATTTACATATTGGTAAATTATTGAATATGCAAATAAGTCTCAAGTGGACATTTGTAGACATTAAAAAATTAGTAAATAAAAGTCTATAATTGAACTCACATTAATTAGATAAATAAAATTGGATTGGATCTAAATTTCATAACCTAAATAATACAAGCTCAAATTTAATTAATAAGGTTTGTCAAATAAAATTAAATTGGACCTAAATTCCATAACCTAAATAATACAAACCCAAATTTAATTAATAAGGCTTATCAAATAAAATTAAATTGGACCGAAATTTCATAGTCTAAATAATACAAGCTCAAATGCAATTAATCAGGCTTGTTCAATTAAAATAGACTTAAATTTTATAGACCCAAATTAAATAAACTTTTAAAAGTTAAAGTAGGTTGGATTTAAATTCCATAAACAAAAGTCCAAAAATTTATGGGTAGTTCATTACCTAAAGCCCATATAAGGGTAATTAGATAAAAATACATTTATATGAATAACTACTCCTACTACTATAAATAGATGTATGAGGTAGGCCAAAAGGGAGAAGTCAAGGGAGAGAAACCAAAGAAGAAAGAAGATCAGCAAAACTCTGCTCAAAGTTCCTTAAAACCTTGCAAATTCATCTCTGGGAAGAAGAACACACCACCAAGGTCCTTCTTCAAGAAATCTAAATCATCTTCAAGTCATTTCAAATGAAGAACAGTGAGGAGATTCATCAAAAACATCATTAAATTAAAGAGCAGGAGATACAATGAATCAACTCTCGTTTTCATCAAAATTACCAATTGAAGAGTAAGAAATACGCTAATCAGACCCTCATTTTCACCAAATTCATCATCTTCACCAAATTTATCAACTTCATCAAATTCAGCGAGAATCAGATGACAGTGCACGTGCGAAGCAC